ACTGTTGTGATCATTGGGTTCAACAAACACAGGCACACATGAATGAGAAGAATCAAACAACAAACTAACAGTGGAGCACTAAGCAAACTTCTGCATACCCTATGTCTCTTAGCTAACTAGTTAACTGAGGGACCATCTTTCAGTTAACTTCCTCAGCCTCCTTAGTTAGGGAACATATCTAACATAACTGCTATTGCTACAGGAACAATAAAGTAGCAACTGCAATAATCATGAAAGCCATCCTTTAGTTTTATTAAGTACCTAAGTACCAACGCTGGAGGTTGCATGGGGAGGGGATGAGCTGTGAAGGATGCTCAAAGGGTGAGCATATTTGGACTATTCACATCTTGGCAAGGAGTGTAGTAGAGGAATGCCATTCCAGCAGGCCTTATCTTCCAGGCTGAGAAGACATTTCCCAACTCAGACATTTCTACCAGCTCCAGCAGTGACAGAGACAGTGCTCGAATAAACTTATCTTGAGCCACTGACAGAAGTAGAGTCAAAGTCATCTCCTTAATGATAACAGAGGCAGCCAGATATGATCAGCCATGGGTTTGACCCTCTGGTCATGGAGGGACATAGTGGTTAGCTGAGTTTTGCATTGGGTTTACTTTCCAGGTAAACCTACAACATATGTAGCTCCAGGTAATGTAGGTCTGATATTGCCACGTTTACGTATTCCATCATGAGGCTAAAGAAAAGATGTAGTGTTCTGGTTTGCCTTCCAGTTTTGAGCCTTCTCTAGACTCACAATTTCAAGTTTTCCTTTCCAACCATGAGAGCCAGACAGTTTATTTTCTAATGAATACTGAGATGAATAATCATACAACCGACCCACCCCAGCACCATCACTTTAATAAAAACATCAACTATCAAAAAACTTGTGATAATGTCACAGAGCACTGTAAGACCCCCATCAGAATCACCTTGTGGCCAATATTGTTGTTTGCACTGTTTTTGTTTGCAAGCAGTAGCAACCTGCACTTAGAAGTGTAGCCTCAGATTTTAAGGTCTTATTTTGAAGCCTTGTAAACTGTATCCAACCACATTTATCTTCTAGATCTAGGAAAGCTAAAAAGCTGGGGATGAACCGGCATATTTCACACCACAGGTTTCAGGAATTCCTGCTATGCCCAAACCAAAGCACACACCAGCTGATGCTCTGGGTTCACTAGAAGGAAAACACAGAACTAAGAGCCAGGGGTAGCTACAATGTCTTTGCCTCCTAAAGATCCTTCATTTCTCATGGATGTGCATGTCAGAAGTATGTGGAGATGTACCAGAGGCATGACCAGGAAACTTTGTGCCCTGGGCAGCAATCATGGCTACTTTTCTTGCACCCTCTCTAGGTTGACAGTCCCACTTGCCTGCCCCTATTTAGGCTACTGAGGTGCAGATGCAGACACCCTCATCTACAAGCTGCAACTCTACCTCTTCCTTTTACTGTATTCATTACTGCCAGGGATCCCCAAAGGTGTCTGGGAGAGGTGACATGCCAGCTGGCTTTGTATCCTGGCTGGCAGTAGCACCACTAGATTCCCAGAGAGAATATATTCACTCCTTAGTCCCTGATGTGGACCAGCCTTGGAAACACAAGTGAATCTGTCTCTTGTCTCTTCCCAGCTGTTCTCACTCTGGAGAACTTCAGCAAACTGAATTTGTCCCATGCCAGGTCTCAGCCCAGCTTTGCTCCACTCCCAGGCTCCTCCCCTTTGAATACACAGCTTACATAAGGCGGGGGACTTTAGTTTCCTTGGCTGAACTCCAGAGAGTTTCTAATGATATTGCTGTCTATAGGCAACCGCCCTCTATGTCCTGTGGAAATCATGCTAGTTTGCACAGAACACTTCTTTCTTCCCAAGAGAGCAGTGCCACAGGAGAAAGGTAAAGGGGAGGCTTTGACTCTGCATTGCTGCTGTCACCAGGCATTTTTTATATTAAATATTTTGTTGTAGAAAGCCTGCAATGCACAGGCTGCAGAGTTCCCCCCTCTGAAGAGCGGGGAAAGGGAGGTGGATGTACAGGGGAAGGAGATACCATGTGTCATAAGACGGGATTGTAATGTCAGAGACTTTGCTTCAGATCTTGATTTATTTTGAGTGTATAGAAGTGTCAGGGTGAAGACTCCAAGCTGAGGTCTTTGGAAAGGGGCCAGGATTATACAAATTCTATGACAATTTATATGTGAACCCAAAACTTGAAATTGCAGATATCTTATTGATTTCTAACCTCTCTTTCCTTTTTGTTGGCTTTCTCTACATGCTGTTCGCTCAACAACTTCTGTACTGTGATCATTTTTGAGGAGAAACTAAACTATTCCTTATTTCCTCTTCTCAAAGGAAAATAAAGGCTGTATAGACCAAATTACATTTTTCACTTTCATCTTCCTTCCTGTGGAGATTCACAGGATTTATAAGCAGCAGATGCAAAGTTACACAGCTGATGACTCAAGAGGGTTTGTTTCACGGGCAGCTGATTTGAGGCCGAGTAGGACCTGACCCCTCTAAACATAAATACAAATGTTCAGGAACAATGTTTACTGTTGTTAATTTTAACTAGTAAGCTTTCTCTACTGCTTAAAGTTTGTAATGCCATTGGCTGCGTGTTCATTCTGCTTATGTTGGTGACAGCCTTGCTGCACAGTTCAACATGTCAGCTGGGCAAGGCATTTTATTTCTGATTAGTGCTGGGTGTTGGCAAATAGACCAATGGTCACTGACTGGGTGCAGGTAACTGAGTTATATTGGCTATTTGGTTATTCTCCTTTATGCATTATGTAATGCAGTTTTGAACGCCAGAGTTCACAAAACTCAGGGAGTGAGATATTCAGAAGCACTCAGTGTTGTCCTACCTTGGGTGTACATCTTGGTACCACACCTCATTGGAGTCCTTCCTGGTCCTCCACCCCTTGATGAAGTCCTCCTTCTTCTTTGGAGTCTGCAGAAATAAGTCATTCCAAGCTGTGCATATCTAGGGTGAAAGACTGCACTTCACTGGCTGAAGTGATTCTGCTCTTGGGTTGAAGCTACAGAGTGTGCCCAGTTGTATGGGAGTAGTGAGCCTAGAAAAAGGTATTATCTTTCATTTTCACTTGACGAAAGTGCCAAGAAGCAGCCTGTGCAAAATAAAAGAAAAGCATATTTTAAGGAGGATGCTTATAGTAACTATTAGTGTTATTTTTCCTCTGTGACCTTAACCAAATTCAAGGCCCCAGTGAGCTGAGTTCTTTACAAATAAATTACAATCTGCAGTTACATAGAGCCCCAAAGAGATCACAATCTCAGCAGGCAAAAAAGGAGTGTGATTATACTTTTTTATTGAGAAGGGAACTGAGACACAGAGCTCTGGGGCAGAATCTTCTCATTTTAGGCACTCAAATGATAGTTGCCCAGTCACATAATGGCTATGTTTGGTGCTTATGCATAGTCTGTGTATGTGCCATGTGGATGAATAAGCTTCCATATGGTAACTGAGCATGCAGATAAGGCTGTGCTCTAGCACGGCAGGTATATGCACATGTCCTGGGCAAGTGTAAGTCATGAACTGTACCTGGCAAAGGCCCAAGACCACTGAGCTCTTCTGTAGTCTAGTCCCACATCCCACACTGAGTCACCAGGGCCCACATCCAGGAGATACAGGTCCTACAACACCCATTCAATCAAGGAGGGTTTGAGCTTGCGTGTCTCTGACAAGCCAGGACACTGCTCCAACCACTAGGCTATAGGCTAAGCCTTAGCTAATGCTCCTTTTGAAGCTACCCACTTGGCAGCTCAGACAGGAAGCCAGCAAGACACAAATAAGCAGTAAGTTGCGTGGCTTAGTGAGACAGTTTCATAGTTTCTAGGGTTGGAAGGGACCTGAGTAGATCATCTAGTCCGACCCCCTGCCATGGCAGGAAAGGGTGCTGGGGTCAAACGACCCCAGCAAGGTGTACATCTAGCCTCCTCTTAAAGACCCCCAGGGTAGGAGCCAGCACCACTTCGCTTGGAAGTTGGTTCCAGATCCTAGCCGCCCTGACCGTGAAGTAGTGCCTCCGGATATCTAGCCTAAATCTACCCTCTGCCAGCTTGTGACCATTATTCCTGGTCACTCCTGGTAGTGCTCGGGGGAACAGGGACTTCCCCAATGCCTGCTGGTCCCCTCTGACTAGTTTGTAAGCTGATGGCTGATGCTCAAGGATAAAAAAGGAAACCCAATAATGCAGACCCCTCCCCCCACCCTCTTGCTCCATTTTATCCAGGGAATATTATGTGCAACATTCAGTGCTCGGTTTCAAAGGGAGGGCTGGAGAAGGTAGTGGGTTAGGTTGAACCTGTGACCTGCTGGTTACAGCTTTGTGCTAGAAAATCAGGCTCATGGAAGTTCAAGCCCTCTTTGGGTAAGAGGGACCTGGAACCTCGCCCCCCACTTCCTGGGTTATCAGGCTAAAGTGTATGAGGGTCATTTTGTACAGTGTGTAAACTGTGCATAAATGTAAAAAATGACACTTATGTGGCTGGGTAAGTGCCACGGGTGCATAAAGTAAAACAGGTTTCTACCCATAGTGACTTGTCCAGGGTCAAACAACATGTCCAAGGCACCATGGAAAACAGAATCTAGGTCTCCTGGATCCCAGTCTTATGTCTGTATCACATGGCCCTCCATCCTCTCAGTATCTATTGTGAATGCCTTTGATCATTTACACTTGACCCCTACCCAAGAAGAACATTTAATGGGCCCTGCCCCTTACAATCATTGGTTTACACGCTCCTCTCTCCAACCTTTACTAGCAATTATCTGGCAATGAGGAGCAAGTACCAAGACTGTATTGCCTGAAAAAGGCTGTTTGCTTTTGCTGAGGGAGGCTTGTAAAAGCCTGTACTAACAGTTGCTGCACTGTATCAAAGAGGATAAGAAAGCTGAACTATGATCTCTTTCGTAAGGCACTGTGGTTTGTTAACTGGAGTTATAAAATATGGTTTGGTATAAAACTGTCATTGCTGCCTCTGCTTTATATGGAGGCCCAGTCAAGGACATACACACTTAACCAGTGACAACAGGGATGGGCCAGTGACCGCAATTAAAGAGCCCTACTGTGCTTCCCTCCGTGTTTGGAAACACTGGGTAGGTGAACCGTTTTCTCAGCCAGTGGCTCTCCCTGCTCTTCCTCTTTCTGTTTATATTCTGTTAAACTCTTTCCCCCTGTAGGATGTCAGATGAAGAAAAGTACATTCGACAGGACTGTCCAATAGTCCATGGCATCCCAATGGTATGTGCATTTTCCTTCAACTGGGAAAGGATCGACAATTTCCAGAGCAGGCCAGAAGACATTGTGATAGCCACATACCCCAGGTCTGGTGAGTTGTCGTGGTCTTAACGTTTAGGGGGAAAAGCACTGTGTGAAACTGGGTTCTGGAATTGTTGATGGATCTGCTTTTGAGGCCCATCAGTTTCCCACCACACAGAAAACCAGCTCCGTTGATTCACGGCTGCTGCTAGTGTTAATGCATAAGACCCCTCTCCAATGTGATGTAGCACCCTCCCCACCAGTCAACCACTGGAACCCACCCCTTTCTCTTGGAGTCTGTACCCATCTGGATTGGGCTACATTCCTTTCTTAACTGATTGCTCTGCAGCCTATGGCTTCCCAAACATGAATATCTCAAGCACTTCCCACCAAGGGAGAGTAATGGGCATTTCCCTCACACCAAGCATAAAACCAGGTTCAGGACTTTATTGGGCCATCATGGGGGCCTCTATATCGTCTGCATCTGGCTGTGGTGGAGAGTCAGGTCTGAAGGCCATTATAGCACCTTCTGGGTTGTGAAGGCAGGCCTTTGGCAAAGCCTCATGCTCAGCTCAGCTCTTATCATGCTCATTTGTGTTGGTCCACCATGATTAAGCAGAGACACAGCTGGGACCTGGAGGACTGGCAGTGTAGGGCCTCAGAGACCAGGGTTTACAAACAAAAAAAAATCAGAAGTGGGAAGTACATACAGGTGGCCCAACAGTTTGGCAGATCTCTGGAGTCAGGAAGGGATGAAGTCTTGCCTGACTCAGGCAGTTCATTTATCATTTTTCTGGCAGACAAAGGCACCTCGCTTGCCTTTTTGCATATTTAAGAATGGCTACTCTCATTGTTACTTATGCAATGTAGGGCTTTCCCACCATGGAAGGTTCACAGAGGGAAACGTTTCCCAGTGTGAGTAGGGGCAGCAGAGCCAGCGTTTGAATTGCAATCCCAGGTCTGTTCTGACAAGAAGGAATTGGAAATCAAGACTTTTCCCCTTGGGCCCTTGGTAGGTTGGATGGTTGTCAATTCATTCAAAATACTGGCCCAGCTTTCAAAACAAAGTGTCTTGCAATGCTCTGCATGAGACAGAAGAGGTTCAGCCCTTGACAGAGAAGACAACAATCCTTGCTGCAGTAGCATTGTGGTATGCCATGGCTCTCAGAGGGAAGACAGCAAGGGCTAAAAGGCATTAAACGGGGGCCTGCCTGGGAGGATGGGCAGTATCAGAACTCTTACAGGGTGGGCCCAGTGGTCAACAGAGGCTGATGTACTGCATGTTACCAAGGAATATACATACTCGTAGTAAACCCCGAAGGGCAGGAACTGTGCTTTCCTCTGTGTTTTGCAAGCTTAAAAAGGAAAACAAGCCAGCCATTGTCTGACCTTAGGAGAGGCTGCCTGCAATCGCTGGGACAGGGTGTGGTCTCAAGGTGAAATCTTGCCTGCAGTAACTTTATTTGTGAATGATGGCAAAAGATCATGTGTTGTAGCAAATTAAAGAGATTCCATCTCTGTCCAACCTCAAGCTAGTATGAGAGAGAGAGACAGATACACAAGATCACAGCAAAGATGTGAAGCAGGGTGATTTCTGTTGGTTTGCTGGGAAATCTGTGGGCTCAGGTCTTCCTTGAGTGTTCTTGGGTAGGTAAGCCTGATATTTGTCTGAGGTTTTCCACTTGCTCTTTGCTTCCAGGCACCACATGGATGAGTGAAATTGTGGACATGATCCTGAATGATGGTGATCATGAAAAATGCAGGCAGGCTGTAATCACCAACAGAGTGCCCATGCTGGAATTTGCTCACCCTGGAAAGAGGCCAGCAGGTAAGCTGGACACTACTGTTATGTGACTACACACAAAGCCTCACATATTTGGTACAGATGGCCTGCAGCTCAGGAGAGGAAAGATGGACTTTCTTCATAGGTCTTAGGTATTTAGGCTGCTGGGATACCCTGAAGAATATTATCTTTAGTCCTTTGCCCCTCATCAGGAGTTATCTCTTTGGAAATCTGCTTCACAGGCACAGAGCAACTGGCCAAGATGCCGTCTCCTCGCAAAGTGAAGACCCACTTGCCAGTCCACCTCCTACCCAAGTCCTTCTGGGAGAATGGCTGCAAGGTAACCAGATGCAGTGATCCTGCCTTCTCAAGAACAGCATGATGGGGGACCACTGGGGTTCCCTGCATCATGCCTTTGCCTTCAGTGGTGTTTCCCAACCAAACCTGAGCAAGGGCTTGTTCTTCTTCCCACCTCCAAGGGGCATGCACAATGGGTTACAGGGGCTGCCATGTATGTTACTGCTCTGCCTAGGTTTCAGAAGGGGAAGCAGAGAGAAAAAATGACCTGCCTGAAAGCACAGAAGAAGGCAGTGGAAAAGCTGTCGTACCAAATCCTGCAACCCCAGGAACTGACACAGGAAGCCATAAGGGGCAATTCCCACTGTATATAGAAAATGCTAGGGTTTAGGGTCACAAGCCAATGAGCTTAGGAGGACAGAACAGGTACAGTTAAATAAATATTAACATTAAGGTACATACACTTAAGAACTAAGTAACAGTGAGTACTAACACTGTGGTACATACACTCAAGGAGCCTTAAACCCTCCTACATCTCCAGAGCACTCTCTGGTCCTGCTGTCATGCTTACACCATGTAGTCACTAAGCCACCTGGGAGGTCTTTGCTTTCTCTGTGGTCTACCTAGGAATTCAGGAGTGGGGCCCCCACTAGCTCTGGTTTTATGTACCCTCCAGTGTACACAGTCCTGCTCTTGCCCCCTGTACTGGTTTGTCCTTGCCATCTTCATTTTCATCAGGCCATGGACCCCACCCTACATTTCTGGATCTAGAAGCAGCCTCTGGCAGCACCCTATTGGGCCTGTATTGGTGAACGTTCGGTTACGAAGGCCCTGGAATCATCTTGGCTGTTGGCGAGCAGACCTCCCCAACTCCCTTTGTGGCCAGGTTCTCTGCTCTCTGAGCACACATAGGGTTTCATCTGATTACAGGATACTACTGATGTCCGTCTGCTGGGCCTGCTTGCTAGCTCATAGAGCACCTCAGAAAACTTCCTGATGACAGTGTAAGAGCCTTGAACATTTCACCAAATTTTTGACACTGTCCCCACTCCTGGTCTGGTTCTGTACCCACACCAATTCCCTCAGTTCATAAACCTGACCCTAAGGCAGGGGTGGGCAATTATTTGGGCTGGAGTGTCACTTAGGCAGGTTTGGTGAGCTGTTGCAGGCTGGGTCAGCATCGCCCCCCTGGCTCCACCATACCAGGACAGCACCCTCCACCCCTCTGCCCCACGGCCCACAACAACTCATCAAAACTCCCTAAGCCAGGGGTGGGCAATTATTTTAGCTGGACTCCATTTTCTCTCTCTCCCTGATCCCCATACCCCCTGATCACCGCCCAGAATTGCAGTATGTCCCAATCCCCACCCTACCTACAGCTGCAGGTTGCCTCAATCCCCACCCTGCTCAGAGCTGCAGCACACCTTGATCCCTACTTCTCCCAGAGCTACAGCATGCCCTGATCCTCACCCCGACCCAGAACCTGCCGGCCGTGTCTGCAGCTTATGCCAGCACCTGCCTGATGTGCTAGAAACAGCCCTGGGTGGGTGCTGGCATCAGCTGTGGAGAGGATGGCAGGTTCCTGGTGGGGACTGGGGCATCTGCCTGGGTCCACAGCTGACACCACTGCATTAGCCCTGGGCAGAAGCAGTGCTGCCCACTCATCCAGCATGATGGAAACAGCCCTGCCCACCGGGCATCATGCAGCAGCCGCAGTCACCTACTGCATGGATCCCATTAGTTCATGGCTACTCCACCTGCAAGTGGGATACAATCAGTTGGTTGGCTGGATCCAGCCTGCAGGCCATATTTTTCCCACCCTTGCCCTAAGGTCATAGTACTCTTTTTGCCTGTGTGTGGCTGCAGCCTGATGTTTCTTAATAGCTTGGCTAACTGAACTTAGGTATCCTGTCACCTTTATACTCAGATGGGTTGTTAAATTCCTCCAATATATTTATTTCAGAGATAACATCAACAGGGAGGCAGATGTCCTGTCCAAACAACACCATATATGTTGTATACCCTGTAGATGACTGCACACTCTTCCAGTAGGCCCTCATGACATAAGGGACCTCATCCCGCGTCATCTGATTGCCTTTGATCAGGGAGGACAGCATGTCAATCAGAGTATGGTTAGACTGTTCCACTAACCCATCAGATTGGGGGTGATATGGTGTTGTGTGGGTTTTGCTGATTTCCAAAAGGTCACGTGCGGTGAAAGTTGAGATTCAAAATTTTTCCCTTGGCCAGTGTGGAGGAGTTGACACACACCATAGTAGCACATGAATCTCTCTCAACAAAAACCTTTGCCACAGTCTGAGCCTCCTGATCAAGGAGAGGGTACACTTCTGCCCACTTGGAAAAATAGTCAGCTACTACTAAGACATACTTGTTTCCATGTGGAGTTGTGGGTAGGAGAGCCAGAATATCCATGGCTGTCCTTTCCAGGGGCTGTCCAGCCTGCATGGAGACAATGGAGGCCCTGGGGTTACTCTTCATTGCTTTTCAAGGCAGACTTTGCATGACGTACACAAATCTCTGACAGATTTTCTCTAGACTAACTAGAAATTCTGCGACTGGACCTTGTGCAAGATTTTCTCCATGTCTAAATGCCCCCCTAATTGTTGGTATTTTCCTGTTCAGGTACCGCTATTCAAATACACTTGAGTCCTTGGGCCGATTTTAGAAGTTTTTGCACCAGTACTCCTTGTCTAAGGCTAAACTAAGGCCACATTATCTAGTATCACTTTAGGCATGGATGCTGCTGCCCTTTCTCAGGCAACTCCTCGCTATTGATTTCCTTCCACCTTTTTACCTTAGCAGTTTCTCAATTTCAGCATTTCCGGCCAGCGTTTTGCACACTAGTCTGCCAACCCTGTCACCTCCCTTGTCCTTGGAGTTGGTTCACTCTGGGCTGTCTCTTCTGCTTATAGTGGCTGTCCCCCACCACCTCCACTTTAAGTTCAGCTTCCACTGTGGGAGGCCTATGAGACAAGGGATCGGTATTCTGATGCTGCTGTCCATAGTTGAACTTGGCTAGCCTGTTGCAACCACCTAGCCAGTTGTCCTTCAGGTTATTGAAAATTGTGTAGCCACCCGAGAGAACCATGGTCTGTTCTTAATGTGATTCATCTCGCTAGGAGGAAGTGTTGAAAATGTTTGCTAAAGGTCACCACAGTGAGCAATTCCTTTCTTGTAATTGCATATTGGCATCCAGCTTTGTTTAGGGTTTGGCTTCTATACGCTATCACCTTTTCCTGACCTCCTTCAACTTGTGACAAAATAGCTCTGATGCCAACATCAATTGCATTACTGTCTGATGAGAAGGATAACTGAGGGTCAGGGTATGCTAAGATAGGGGATGACATCAACCACCATTTTAGTTCTAGAAACGCATCTTGAAATTCCTTAGTCCAAATTAACTTCGTCATATTGGAGAGCTTATGTAATGGGCCTGCAATAGTAGTGAAATGTGCCACAAATCTCCTATAATAGGCAAGACCCAAAAAGCAGCACAGTTGTTTTACATTTTGAGGTCCTGGCCAGGTTTTAACACCTTCCACTTTCTCTGGATTTGGCCTACCACCTCCGTGGAGATCACATATCCCAAAAAGTTCACTTCCTTTCAGAAAATCTGACATTTGGCAGCCTTTCTGACAAAAAGGCTTCTTAGATTGGCCTCCTTCAGCTTCTTAAGCACTGTTTTCACTTTCCACAGGCGCTCCTGAAAGGTTCAGCCTATCACAGTGATATCATCCAAGTACACCAGCCAGGATATCCACTGTATATCCAAAAGTCTCTTCCTAGTGCGAAAAGTGGTCTTGGCTCTGTGCTCTGGGTACACTTTTACTTGCCAGTACCCACTATGCAGATCAAGGGTAGAAAATGATTATCGGGCATTGGCCAGGAGGTCTAGCATGTCATCAATCCAAAGTAAGGGATAGGCATGCTTAACAGTAACGTTATTCAGTCTGTGGCAATGCCCACAGACCCTCACCCCCCCAACACACACTTCTTCTGCACCAACACCACAGGGGCAGCGCATAGGCTGACAGAGGGCCTGGTTGATGCCTCTTTCTTTCATCTCTTGCAGCTGTTGGTCAAACTCCTGCTGGTAATGAATGGGTACTCTTGTAGGCCCCTGTTTGACAGGTCTGGCACTGTCAGTGTTGATCCAGTGCTTTGCCAGGCCTGTATGCCCTAGATCAGGGGTTTTCAACCTTTTTAAATAAGTTTACCCCTGGTGGCTGGACATGGAGCAGTGGCAGTGCAGGGTGGTGGCTGCATGCTCCCCACTGTGCATCTGGCTGGCTGGGCAGTGCCTGTGTGGCCTGCAGAGGGGTGCTGCTCCCTTTGCCTCCTCCTCTGGCTGTGCTCCTGGGTGGTGGCAGTGCTCCATCCCCGCCTGCCTGTGCGTACCCCCTGGGGCTTTACCAAGTACCCCCAGTTGACAACCCCTGCCCTAGATCATGGTCTCCTAGGTTGAGTATATCTGCATACTCCAGTAGGACTTCCTGCACTGCCCTCACTTGCTCAGTTTCCAGGTCACAGAGACTCAACTTGAACTTGTCTTCCAATTTTCCTGCAGCCCACTGGAGGTTATCACCTGGTTCTCCAAGATGATAGTTCTTGTCTGTGCTCAGTACCCTTATAGCAACCAACTTCTCTGCCCCAGAGTCTGCCTGCAGGACAGCCACCCCCGTATCAAACATCCCAATTGCAGTGCCTTGATATGTGACTTGAGGCTTTGTCAATATGTTGGCAACATGCACTGGGATTTCACCGTTGTGGCTCTTACCCATTGCTATTCCCATTAGGAATCCTGATCCCTCATTGAGCTTAGGTTTAAATAAGATCTCCTCTTCTTCACAACACCATCTCTTCAGTTTGCCAGTGATCATCATCTCACTTAGAGGAAGTATTGTTAGATTCTTCTTCACTATAACTTCACATACTTCTGTTTGGCCATCTGTGGCGTACAGGAGGAAACACTTTCCCAGAAAGGAACAAAATCAATCTGCAAAATTCATAGTGACATGAAATATTTTTAGGAAGTTGGTGCCTAATAAGGTATCTTGATTGGCATCCTTTGCTATGAGGAATTTACATGGCAGCTACAGGCCTTGGAAGTCCACATCAGCACTCCAGTCTCTCAGAATAGGGAGCACTTCTCCATTGCCTGTTTTGACCACTAGTTCACAAGGTTGAAGGCTCTCTGTCTCTGCTGTAGTTTGCTCCCATACCTGGCTATGTACAGTGGATACCTGGGCAGCTGAATCTAGAAGGAATTGGCAAGAATCCTCTCCTAGCTTCCCTTCTAGGTAATATCCCAATCTCATGATACCAATAATTACCACCTCATCCTGTGAGCCTCTGTATTTACAAGCAGTGGATAGGCCCCTCTCCACTGCCCATTTTAGTTTCCATGTCCAGAATGCCACCTTCTCTCTGGGCATTCCCTCTGGAAGCGATCACGGCTGCCATAGTGCCAACATCCACCAGCAGCCTCCTGATGAGACCCCAGCCACTGTGGTCCTGGGGGGGGCATTTACTGGCATGTCTGATTTGGGACTGAGTGTCCATACTCTTCTTGAGTTTGTCCAGTTCGCTCTGGATTTCCTTCAATGTCTCCATCATTGTTTGCAAAGCTAATGGTTCCAGTTTTGGAATGGATACTGCTGACTTCTCCTCGGCATACACACGTACCCTTGCTTTGGTGTCCTGGGTACCTAGAGCCCCCAGCTTTTTTACCAGTTCTATCTCAGTGGCTAGCTTTATAGCCTTGTCCAGAAGCTGGTGCTTTCCCAGCCAAAGTTGAGCCTGTGCCTCCCCACTGAAGGCATTGCTAACAAAATGGTGACAGGCCAGCGTACCTTCTCCTCTGGGCTGACTTATGGGAAGGCCAACATGGCTAATCATCTTAGGGCCATGCCAAACTCTTAAGCTGACTCTGCTGCTATATTCTTTTGATTAAGGAAAGTGCCATGGTCTCAAACAGGATCTGCACCTGGTTGCAAAGCATTCCTGAGGGCTCTTATCAGGTGCTGGTAATCCCGCTTGGCTTCACAGCAGAGCCCATGGTAAACCTCCCTGGCCCTCCCTATGAGTAACATGCTCAATGATTTTTGTTTGGTGGCCCTGTCCCACCCATTTAACTTAGCTGCCATTTCAAGCTTTTCAAACCAGTCATCCCATTCTTGTTCCCCACTAAAGGATGCTGGATTGAATATTGACCTCAAGGCATTAGGTGGGAGGGGGGTGGGTGTTTCCCTCCTCTGGGGTACTTATCACCTCAGATCAAATACCCACACAACAAAATCTATACACTCCTGCAGCAGTTTGCTCATTGCATTATAGCCTGTGAACACTAATTGCACCAATGCCACCAGTTGTACCAACCCTGCAACCCCAGGAACTTGCACAGGAAGTCAAAAAGAGAAGTTCCCATTCTTATATAAAAATGCTAGAGGTTAGGGTCACAAGCCAATGCGCTAAGGAGAAAGGAACAGGTACAGGTAAATAAACATTAACATTAAGGTACATACATTTAGGAACTAGGTAACAGGTAGTGAGCACTAACACCACCATGGTAGATATACTCAAAAAACCTCCCACACCTCCAGGTGTGCTCTAAACCAGCCTCTGGCCCCAAAGCGCTCAACTGCCATTTGCACATGCTTCAATGTCCCTGGTCCCACTGCTATAGTCCGCAGTTCCAGCTCTGCCAGTACTCCTGGATCTCCACCCATGTGTTTCCATCTGCTGCTGTATCCTGCGCTCTGCCACTGCTTCCCACACTCTGCCACTGTTTCCTGCTTCCTCTCCCTTTGTCTTCCTGACCCCAGTGTCTCTGGGGGCTGCAGTCTATTGTAGTCAGCCCAATTCTGCAAGACTGTTCCCTTTGGGGACTGCTGGGATTTGTAGTCCAAATCCAGTCAGCAAGGCTGCTCCCTCTGCTGTCACACTTTCAAATTACAGACATTACATTCAGTTCACACAGTATAAAATGTTATGATGAGTCAGGATTAGCTGCTTCCAGTTGTCAGCCCAGTCCTTAACAATCTGGTCCTCTGCCCTCAGCTTATGGTGTCCAGGGACACTCAAATGCTTGACAGTCTTCATTGTGGCCATGAGCCACAGATTGCATCCCTGGCAGTAGGACTGGGATTTTGAATGGACTCTATGGGAGTTAGGTGCCAGGGACTCCTTTGATAATCCAATTCCAGAGCTATTGAAGGTCACAGAGGCAACACTGATTCTTCTCCTCTCCCTGCCCCAGGTGATCTATGTTGCCCGGAATGCCAAGGATGTAGCTGTCTCCTTTTACCACTTCGACCTGATGAACAAACTGGAGCCAAACCCGGGGACTTGGGAGGAATACTTCGAGAAATACATGGCGGGCAGAGGTGAGTGTGGTGTCTGTTGCAAATTTGTGCCCCTGGGGCATTAGCAGTATATCTATCTATCTATCTATCTATCTATCTATCTATCTATCTATCTATCTCTAGATAGATAAATAGATACAGATATCCATATCTATCTATCTAAATAGATTGATAGATAGATAGATATAGATATCTATATCTATCTATATAGACAGATATATACAAACTTGTTAGTCTGAGAGGATGCCTTTAACTTCCAAAGACATACAAAATATATGAATATATATTGAATATATGAATATTCATATCAAGAGGAAGAAATTGTGTGTGAAGACTTTTTTCTACATATAGATAATATATTCTATATATAAGAAAAAGTCTTCACACACAATTTCTCCCTCTTGCTAAGAATATTCATGATGGGTCCTTTAAATATATTCTGTATGTCTTTGGAAGTTCAGGCCATCCTCTCAGACTAGTAAGTTTAGTAGTCTCCATCCAATCGCTTCTCCTCTTCACAACAGGATACTCATACATAAGAATCTGCACATCCGGGGATCCACTGGCTCAGATGTTCCTTGAATATAACCTAAGGGCCAAGACTCAGCCCTTATCTGGTCTGCCTTGATTGGAGCTATGTTGATTTATACCAGCTGAGAATCTGACCCATTTGATTTCAGTGCAGCTTTCCTGACTTGTCTTACCTGGAATTCCGGCCTATTGACTACCAGGGAGGGATGCCAGTTTACACTAGCTGAGGATTTAACCCACAGACTTTGATAAACGTTATGCTGCTATACAGCATGTGGGGACCTTGCCAGTTAACTTCAAAGAAGCTAACCCAGTTTACATCAGCTGGGGATCTGACCCTAAATTGTATCCATGCAGTATTTGGTTGCTATCTAGTTTCTGTTCCAGTCATGGAAGAATAGATAAGGATTTTAACCTGACACTCAGCGCATCCACACGAGACGATGACTTCACAGTACCCGAATAATACTGCACAGTAGCACATCACAGCACAGACAGTGCTAATATGCTACTGTGCAGGATTATTAGGCTACTACACAGTAGCGTCACTTAAAAGATGTTTGCTGTTGCTACTGCGCAGTAACTCCAGTTACTGCATATTTGTTTAGTACTTGCTAATACAAGTACTAAATAACTGCGCAGTAACCACTGTGCAGTAACGTCTCATGTAGATGCACCCACTGGAACCAGAAAAACAAAGCACTTAGCCCAATGTACAAATGAGCAGAACTGGCGGTTTGTGTGCAGACACCTGTTTTCCATTTAGTTTCAGATATATGTGCACACCATGAACTCCAGCATAGTTATACTAGTGCAGACTGTGGCCCCTTGTTATCCAATACACTCTGCCTCTGATGGTATTTGCATACCTCTTTCTCTAAATATAGTTGCTTATGGTTCCTGGTATGACCATGTGAAAGGCTGGTGGAAGAAGAGGCAGGACCACCCCATTCTCTACGTGTTCTATGAGGACATGAAAGAGGTGAGTGGGCAACAAGACCCTTCTGAACAGCAGTCTGCCTGCCACCCTGGGAAAACCTGTCTGTGGGTATATTCAAGTACATTATCAATACATGAGACGCACTAAGAACATTTAAACACTTTGGCTGGTATGAAAGTGTGAGAGTCACGCTTACTCTCCCCCCATGCAGAAGAGTGTCTAAGGAAACAAGGGAGATTGATGGGCTTCTGTAGAGCAGGCAGAGAGAGGAAGGAAGTGATCTTGGAAGAAAGTGCGAGTAGGCACATGTTCTTTAACTTGAGTACTTATGTGGGTCCCTTACCACGCAACTGCAAGTATATTTATTCTTATAACATGATTGTGACCAAAGAACCTAAGTAGGCTGAGCTGTGGCCTACCATTCTTGTAGGGAACACCACGGGTGGCCTAGTGTGAGCATGCTTGGCTGTTAATGCCTGCTGTCAATAGCTTCCTAAGCAGGATAGCTAGATGCCTTTTTCACTTAGGGAAAGATGAGAATCTGGGTCTGATCGGTTCACATTGACATTATGTTTTATTTAATTGGGTGAGGTTAGTTTCCTGGTTTATATTACAGCTTTATGACATTTTTGTTGCGAGTATGGCTGGCTGTGCCTGAGAAGAAAGGGTGAGGCTCTGAGAGAGCTGGGGAGAGAAAGAGCAGTTCCAGAAAGGACAGAGTGGAGTCCTAGGAACTGCAGTTGTACAACAGAGAGGCCTGAAGCTGAGCAGCCTGCTGTGCCATTGGGGATGTTGGCACTCTGCTCCCCCTCCTCCCTCCTGGCAGCTGACCAAAATGAAAATGCTGAAGAGCTCTCTGCTTGCTGGGGGTGGAGGGCAGCATGCTACAGATTGCTGAGGAAGCCAGGTAGGGAAAAGGCAGGGTCTCAAAGCTAGAAACTTGCACCTTTGCAGCCACACCAGGGCTGGCTTCAGGGTGTCCTTTAGGAAAGAGAGACCAAATAAGGCTTCTTCTTGGAGAGTCCTGAGGCAAAGCTTCTCCTGAAGGGTGCATGATCTGTGATAGTGACATAGATAAGCATTCAAATCATAGAAAAGTAGGGCTAGAAGGAACTTCTGGAGGTCATCTAGTCCAGTCCCCTGCTTGAAGCATGATCATCCCCATTCACCGTCCCACACAAGTCCTCGTCTAACTTATTCTAAAAACAGTCCTGCTGCACAAGCCATATTCCCCAAGGACATCAAAAAGACCCTAAGCTACCACTAGTAAAGCAGGGGGATGAGGACTGTCAGTGTCCTGTTGAGAACAGGTTGAGAAAATGCAGTACACCATTTAGATACGGAAAACTGAGGCAATGAGGGAATCACATTGGCCAAGAAACCTGTAGCTGAACAAGGAACTAAGCTCAAGTGTCCTAGTCTCAGGCTGGTGCCCAAAACACTGGACCTTCCTGGCTCCTCAATTCCTCATGCTCATGTTAGAGAACAGGCTTGTGGGACTGTGTTCTTTATAGGGTACCAAGAGACAGTTTCTTTTTTAGAGGAATAACTTATAGTTTTCAACATACAAAAAATGGTGTCCTTTTTTTCAGATCAGGAAGAGGGGGAAGTTGGGACATATTTGGTTAAAGAAAGGGGAAATAGTTGAGATGTGCCACAACATTTATTTTCAATTATATCCCTTGATGGGGTTGTGAAACAGCTGTTGTTTTTGTGTTCCTTATTTTCACTCTAATTTCTGCTTTTACCTGAGAGAGGAATTGGGACTACTGAAATAATCTAGGAAAAGAAAGGTGGACAGTATTCCCACTCCGGTAGAAACCAAACACAGAAGTGGTTAGACACGTTAGTCTGAAGTCCACAAAAGGTACAGTGGAGTGGCAACTTAAAAACTAACTGGTTCAGAGAGTCAGGAACTTTTGTGGATGACAATCTATATGTCATCCATTTCTCATATGTTGATAAAGTAGGTTGTTGCCTGTGAAAGTTCATGCCTTTCTGAACCATTTAGTCTCTAGCAACTGGGTAATGTTGGAAATGTCATGATAACCTGATCTTGGTATGGATATTTGGGGAAGAGATTTGGATAAATCTGCAGAGTACACCTTTCAACTATCAGGAATGGAATTAGTCATTGGCAGAGTTGTACCAAAAGCTCCCCAGTAAAAGGAATCCTGATTAGTGTCAAGTTGTGAAGTTCCAGTAAAGTTTAGCTGACATACAGACAGCAGAGTTGGAGAGTAAAAGCCAGATTCTCAGCTGACATAAATCAACACACCTCTCTTGGTGTAGACAAGGCAGTTGCATTACCTTATACAAACTGAGGACTGAACCCCTAAATTCCCCTTCTGCACCACTGTAGTTAGCAAGTTACAGTATTATGGAGTTAGGCACCAGGATTAGTATCTCTCTCTCTCTCTCTTGACATTGCAAAACAAATCAAGCAGAAACAGAAAACTACCATAGCAAACATTGTTGAGGGGCAAAGTACTCAAAAAAGAGTTAGAAAATACCAAGATTAAGGCTGTCTGTGGAGTATGCTAATGATAGAGAAGGTGATAAGGAAAGGTTTTCATGATCCACTGGATGTCTTTTCTCTGCTTAGTACAAGGCTAAGTTGGGTTGAGAGGTTGCTCAGATATATTTTTGGAGGGCTGAACAACTGGTTTAGAATTCATATAACATTTCAGGTTGTTGACACCCTGTAAAAGTTTTAGGTTCCCTTTCCTTTGGTGACACTGATCACCTGAGTAGGTGAGCAGTAGGGTCCCACCACACCCCATCTGGATGAAACACTTGCCTGTCTCTTTGTAGGACCCAAAGCGTGAAATTCGGAAGGTGATGCAGTTCCTGGGGAAAAACCTGACAGAGGAGGTTCTGGACAGGATTGTCTATCACACATCATTTGACATAATGAAGGAGAATCCCACCACCAATTATAGGAAGATCCCACATTCCCTGATGGACCACAGCATCTCCGCTTTCATGCGCAAGGGTGAGCATAGGTGTGAGCACAACCACACATTATTTTTCTCTTTAGTTGTCATAAAAAGATGTTTCCCCACCCAGTTTCCCTTCTACACTGCCTTGAAAGGTGGCTCTTTCTTTCTCCCCCACCATTAAATAGTTAATGAATAAAGTGTACCAATAGTATTGAGAGTAGAGAGCTGAAATGAGGCCCCCTACCTCCAAGGGGAGTACCTGTCTCATCACACTACAGAGTAAGAATCCCATGTTTTTTCTCTTTCTAGTTCTAGGATTCTTGCATACTTTTCCACTCAGTGGTTAAGCTTCAGTAGGAGATCAGAAAGAACAGAACAGTCCAGTAGTTGAGAGCACTTTCTTGGGAAGAGGGAAACATGAGTACAACCTCCCAGTGGTTAACATGAGTCTAGAAGCCAAGGTTCCTACTTCAAGGATAGGAGGCTATATCAGTAGGCTACTGGCTATGCTTACATGGACTGGTGTTTGTCAGTTGTTCTGTCTGGTTGTTCTGTCAGTTGTTCTGTCTGGTTTTTCAAGAAACTGGGGACTTAAGGGTCTTTCTGAGTATCCAAGAATGGAATGACATTCCAGCAGAACTCAGGTGGAGGTAGAGGTCTAAAGAACATAGCTATCTATCTTAGCTTTGCTGGGGCAGCTGCGGGCTGCAGTTGAATCACGCTTAGTGACTTGGGATACCGAAGGCCCACATAAGTGACACTTAGACACCTTAACTGATGGAATGGGACCTGCACCCTCTTATTGTGACTAGTAAGAGTGGGTGGTAATCAGTACCTCGTTGAATTGGGCCTGTACTGTATCTAATTAGTACTCCATACAATGAACTAGAGTTCTTGCCCTGGTATATGGAACATGTGTCCATTCAATGGCCCTAAAGACAAATTTCCCTCTCAGCTATACATGTATAAATCTGTTGGCTCTTCATGGATGAGTGTCACTGAGGGCAGAACGAAGCCCTTTCTCACTCAGCGAGGTTCTGCTTTATTGCAGTTTGCTCTTACAAACGACCCCTTTGGCTCATGTGGGCCTCTGCTGTTTCCTTCATTGTCTCTTTCTCATCTCAGGGATTGCTGGTGACTGGAAGAATCACTTTACTGTGGCCCAGAATGAGAGATTCAATGCAGACTATGAGGGCAAGATGGCTGGGACCACCCTGCGGTTCCGAACAGAGGTCTGATGTACCTGGAGTCTCCGTGTCAGGATGCGAATCCAAGCCAGATTTCTGTGGGGCTTCCAGTGACAGCAACTTTTATTTTTCTACCTCATTCCTTGCAAAACCAGAGGTCAGCCCCCAGGAAATGTCTCTGTCCCAGTGGCAGGCAGCAATATGTTGTTACTGGGAAGAGTCTGGGGTTCCTTTTAGAAAGTCCTGAGTAGCAGAAAGTCTCACTGCCTAGTTAGCTACCATACAAATACACCCTATTTTACCTCACTCCTTGTTGAACGCTGAACTGTATCCTGACCAGTCTCACTGTGGGCATGGACCTAGGTTTGGGTGTGGTGATGAAGTAGCCATCACTGGGGCACATGTGGCTGACCTCCTCACCCCTACTGTTTATTCTACCAATCACCCACTTGGTCCTTCTTTACAGTTGCTGCTACAGAGTGGGTGCATCTATACACATAATTGATGTGATTCAGGCTGACTGCACAGTCCTGGGAAGGCACCTACATGCTCACCCTGTTGGGAGCAGATTTGCTCTTTATGGCTAGGGACAGAAGTTACACATAAACCAGTTTAAGTGATCAGAAACTGGTTTAAACCTGTAACAGAACAGAAGGTCAGTGCACTTAAACCGCTTTCAAAATGGCCAAAACTGGTTTACAATAAACCTGGTTGGATGTAGTATTAGACTTCACTGACTTAGCTTGAATCAGTTTATGGAACTTCTATCCCAGATCCCCTCCCAGTTCCAGTTAACTCATGGTTCCCCAGCATCCCATAATGCTTTGCAGCCCTGGGATGGGCTGCCTGCTCCAACAAGCAGGGTCTGCCCCACCCCTCTGCTCCCTAGCCAAAGCAATGTCACTCTGGGTGGCTAAGGAGGAAGTGGGGGAAAAAACCCTCACCCCTCTGGCCAAGCATCAGACCCCCAGACAGGTGCTACTGGTTGGAGGGGCGGGGGGGGAAGCCAGACCCCCAGCTGGTTGCTGCCAGCCTGGGGAAGGGAGAGGGGGTACAAACCAGGAGTCCAGAGCTGGGAGGCATGCCCCCTTCTCAGACTCCAGGGAGATCCCTGTACCAGCATTTGGCTCTGCCCCGGGAGCTGGGCTGAAGTCCCTTTGCCACATCCCCTCCTCAGCCTCTGGGCCAGCTCAGGGTGGGGGAGAGGGGGCAGAAGCCTGCAGGAAGGCTTGGCTCCACCCTCCATGCTCCCCTCTCAGCTGGTCCAGAGGCTGAGAAGGGAATGTTGCGAGGGGCCTCCAGCCTGGCTCTGGGGTCTGAAGGGCAGCCCTGAGGCTGAGGAGGGGGTATGGCTCCTGGTTCTGGGGGCAGAGCCAAGCCCAGGTGCAGACTTTCCTCCCCCGTGGTCTCAGCTGGTAGGGAGGCGTAGATAGATTCCAGTCCCGCTCCCAGCTGGCTGGGGGAGGCCGCCCAGAGTAAAGCCCCCAGTTTTAGCTCCTGTTTCTCCCCAGGCTGTTCCTGGCTGGGAATCCAGTGCCGGACAGGGCAGGTGGGTGCCCCCCATCCCCTCGCTCAGCCAGTCAGGAGGGGGCATGGCTTGGGAAATCAGAGGGCTCCAGCCCTCTGCAGTGGCTGGCAGCTGGGAGGTGTGCTCTGCTATTAGTAAGGGCCACTGCAGGGGTCTGGCTGCCTTTCCTGTTTGAAAAGTGAACATCAGTTCACTTGCTTATCAGTTCAGTCTTGGCAGTTTAGAAAATTCGGCAAAGATTTTGAATCGATTCAGCCTTGGGCTTTTTGACAGTTTGTACTTAGCCTATAGGATTAGGCAGATCCTGGCCTGTTCCTGCTCTGTTCTGCCCCCCTGCAACAGATAGAGGGATCTGCAGATTCCTGATGCAGCTACCCAGGTGCCAGGGGGCTCCCAGTGGTGCAGGCTCAGCTTGGAAGGGAGCTCCAGGGGGACAATCTTAGCTTGTGGCTAGTGCGCTGTGGGCACTCCTGACCCTCCTCGCTGGCAGTAGCGGATAGGGCACCTTGTCCGTGAGGTGATCGCAGAACATCTCCTACCCCAGCCCCTGTAGTAGGGCACCTGACTGGCTGCCTACACACCTTAGGCACAGAGTGTGACCATGCGCACATGCACATCAGCTTATTTTGATGCACATTAAAGCATGACAAAAAACTGCGTGGTTTCGCTAATGTTAATCAAATTGGGCTAATGAGCCTTTTTCTAGTACCTAACAATAGAGGTGCTAAATTTAATGTGTATTAGCAAAAGCACATGAATGAACATGTAGACATGCCCACTGTACAGTAGATTAATCTACTATGCAGTAAGGTGTCTTGTATAGATGCACCCAGTGTGTCTACACTGTAAAATGAAGGTCTAATTGTAACATGTGCTACCTTAATTTGGTCAGTAGCGGTAAGGACAGCAACAGAAACACAGCAATGCAGGATTTAATACCTGCTACAGCCAGAATCACTGGAAGGTTTGTACTCTGATTGCTACTGTGCCGGTGCCACAGCATCTCTCCTGCTGTTACTTGTGCCAGCTAGCACATGCTACAACCAGGTAATGCATGCTCCTTTTGCTGTTTAGATGTAGGTCTAGATTTTTTCCATAACAGCAGCTAAAAAGGATGAACAAATAAAGAGGCTTTCACAAAAGAGCTGCGTACAGAAGTCTGTTGTCATTACTGGAAAGAAAGTCAAGATTCACTGAAGAACCACACCCCAGTGAGGTAAAGTCAAGCACTTGCTCAATGAGATATCGTGCAGGGGCATGGTGAGGATCATTGGGCAGGAAGGAGTTGCTGGGGAGATTCTCTTATTTAGAAGGAAAAATAATCATATCACTACCTCAGACTAGTGGGAGCAGGCCCTGCTGACCAGCCAGCACATATCTCTTTACCTGAACTCTAACCTGTCTGTCAGGCTGATATCTAATAATGCAGCACTTGAAACCATGTCCCCCTGATTTTCCCTTTGGGGTCAGGAAGGACATGAAATTCAAATAAGGAGTGGGAGCTTGCAGGGGAGAGGGGACTGAGATAATGCCAGGTGAAGAACCGTATGTGTGGAGCAATGGAGAAGTTTCAGCTTGTACCTAGTGGTCAATGTACCTGTCTGTCCAATGGCTCTGGCTGTCCTGGGTGTCAAACTGTAGTTGGCCACCTAAGACATTTTGAAGCTTGGGATCACCATACCTTCCCTCCTCCCCCAGGGGGTTGGCTTCTTCCTCACTAGGAATCTTGGAGGTTCTGCGAGTTGTCCATCAAGGGGCTCACAATTGTGACTAGGGTAGTGATGAGGTCCCTGCCAAGGGTGCTCTGGAACTGCTCCACAAAGGGACATGTCACGGGGCAGGCTTCAGGCTGCTGTGCTTTGCAGGGCTGCCTGATTTTATACTTGCCAGAGTCACTTTGCCTGGGCTTGGCTGTTTCTCCTTCTGTCCATAGTCCTTTTCCTGCATGCCCTCCAACATCTTCTCCCCGACATCATGATTCCATCAGTTTTCACAGAGCTGGACTTGGGCCGAACCTTTTCTCCACATGCTTAGGAGATCCAACCTCTCCCTCCTGATCCAGTCAGAAACACAGAACCTAGGAACCGTGTCCCTGCTTGAAGCCATGCTGGTCCACTCACAGAGATGGGTTGGAAGGCACTGAGTGTTTTCGAAACACAGAGGGATTCAAATGGGGAGGTAAGCTCCTAGTCCACTGAACTGAGCCAACAGAGATCACATTACTCTTCTGAGCAATCAGCGCAAGACATTGATTTGGCGAAATTTTGTATACTGGCAGAAGTAAGGGACTGTCTACACACAGTTTCTGCCAGCTGCCATTTGGCAGGGAAGGGCTTATGCCACTTGGTGAGGTGGTAGTTTTCTGTCAACCTACCCCTGGGGTTTTGCTGCCTAACTGGCCCTTTCTATGTAGATGCATACAAATTTCTGTCACCAACACACAACATGCCCATGTAACACTACAGCCTACACCTAGTGGAACCTTGCAACAATCACACAAGCATAGGTAGGGCATGGGTATTCAGTAAGGGTCTGCTTAAATTGCAGAGGGACTTACCAATATTCATGGGTTGATTGAGGCATAAGTCTTGTTAATGAGAGTGTAATGGGAGGCCATGTCAAAAGTCCTGCTAAAGTCAAGTCATTCACTGCTCTCCCCATAGTCCATAACACCTTATCATAGAAGGAAATAAAACTGGTGAAGCACAGCTTACTGTTGCTGAATGCAAGCTGGCTGTTCCTGATCACTTTGTTCTCTGCGTGTTTCTAAATAGACTCCTTGAGGGTTGGTTCCATGGTTTTTCCAGATATTGAGGTTAGACTGACCGGTCTGTAATTCCCCAGATCCTCCTTCTTCCCTTCATCAAAGATAGCAACAATATTTGCCCTTTTCCTATCATTCAAGATGGCACCCAAACTTCAACTTGACCAGTCAATGACTTCACCTGATTCCTTCAGTACCCTATGGTGTGTCCTATTCTGCCCTGCTACCTTGAAAATATCTGTAAGTCATTCCTAACCTGTTTTTCAACTACTCTGGGCTGTTTGTCTCCTCCCCTATCTTTGTCAGCAACTGTGCTCATTGTCTGGTAGCTGGCTTTAATTATGAAGACTCAAGTAAAAAATTGCATTAAATACTTCAGTCTTCTCTGCATCATCCATAATTAAATTGCCTTCTCCATTTGGAAAAAAGCCTACAGTTCCTTGGGTCTTCCTCCTACTCCCGACATATTTGTTGCATTTTTCATCCCTTGCCTGTTGCTACTCAAATCATGCCTTGGCCTTCCTGATTTTCTCTCTGGAGGCCTGTGAAATACTTAGATATGCTCACCTAGGAGTTTGACCAGATTTCCACTTTTTGTAGGATTCCTTTTTGAATTTCAACTCACTGAGTTGATCGCTTCTAACCGCATCAGTCTCTTGTTGCAGTTCCCATTCTTCCACTGGGATAACTAGCTCCTGTGCCCTTAATGCAGCCGACTCAAAGTATAGTCAGGTCTCCTGGACTCCATTCTCCCTTAGAATTGCACCACAGGGGATCTTGCCCACCATCCGCCTGAGTTTGTTAAAATCCAAGTTTGTTAAAAGCTTTATAGAAGTCCAATATCTTTATGCTGCTCTTCTTCCTTCCTGATCTTAAAGTCTATCATTTCATGGTCACTGGCTCCCAAGTTACTTTTCACCTTCACATTTTCCACCAAGGCCTCCCTGTTTGTGACGAGCAAGTCAAGCAGAGCTCCCCCCCTCAGTTGGCTTTTCCACCACCTGTTCCAAAAAGGTTTCCCCAACACACTCCAAGAATTTGCTAGACTGCCTGTGCACTGCTGAGTTCTCTGCCCAGCAGATGTCACAGTAATTAAAGTCCTCCATGAGAACAATGTTCTCTGATTTGGAAACGTCCTCTAGTTGTTTTAATAAGGCTTCATCCTTTTCTTCCTCCTTGTCTGGTGGCCTATCGCAGATGCCCACCATGACATCCCCTCGGCTGCTCTCCCCTCTAACCTTTACCCAGAGGCTTTCAACAGTCTTGCCTCCCACTTTGTACTGCACTTCAAATTATGTCATCT